TAATTCTCTCAACCCAGCCCCTCTTCTGTCTCTGGCCCCCCTTCTGCCGCTAATCCATGCCCTGAAATCCTGGGCGAAATGCAAACCTCCAGACTGGGTTTTGCTGACTCCCCTTTGTCAGATGCCTACTGGGCTCTGTCTGTAGACGGCAGCTCTTGCGAAGGTGCGCGAGGTCAGCGGAGGGCTGCCTAGGCCATGGTTACCCTCGATCAGGTCATCGAGGCAGGAAAGCCGCCCGGAGGAACCACCTCCCGAAAGGCAGAACTCAGAGCACTTACCGGGGCCCTGACCCTCAGCAACCATAAGAAAGTCACCATCTATGCGGATTCAACATATGCCTTCCTTATGGCTCACAGTCCTGCTGCGATTTGGCAGGAAAGTGGGTTCCTTTCCACCAAGAGGTCCTCCATCATTTACGCTAAACTTATCCTTAAGCTTCTAGCGGCCTTGCAGCTTCCAACTGAAGTCGCCATTATCCACTGTAAGGACACCACACGGACAATTCTTACGTGACCACAGGGAATAACAAGTCTGATGCAGCAGCAAGGGCTCCCACCACTGACTCTGCTGCAGACCCTGCCCCTATTCCCTATCTGTCCCCTCCATCACTCTGACTTAGGAGCCTAATGAACGCCAATTCCTGAGTCTGCTCTTTCAACCCTCCTTGAGTGCAAAAGTCTGGCAGATAGTTCCCATCGTCAAACCTGTGCTCGTGGATCACCTCATGGGGGAGTTCACCCACCTTCTTCTTTTGCAGCTCACCAGCTGCGTGGACACTTACCCAGACAGGATTGGCAGGTTGATTTTACTCACTTCCCTACTCACAAAAAGGTTAAATATCTGCTCACAATGGTTGATGCAGTGACAGGTTGGGTCGAGCCCTTCCCTGCAGCTAGAGAAATGGGTCAGGTGGTAACCGAGGCCCTTCTTAACCACATTATCCCACACTTTGGCCTCCCCAGCTCTATCCTATGTGACAATGGTCCAGCTTTTATCTCAAAGATTACTCAGCAGGTCTCCACGGCTCTGGGTATCACCTGGAAGCTTCACATTCCCCACCACCCGCAATCCTCAGGGAAGGTGGAGCGCGCCAATGGGCTCATCAAGGGTCACCTCACTAAACTCTCCTGAGAGCTCTGCGACTGCTCCGGGAACATGAAGACCTGCACTTACCCAGTCCTGCCTTGAATCTCGACCTCCTCAACTGACCTACCCCACCACTGCATCCGGGAGACCAAGTCCTGCTCAAATTGCTTCAGCCAAAGCCACGGCAGCCTCCGTGGACTGGTCCACACACGGTCATTCTCACCACGCCTACAGCAGTAACACTTCTGGGACACCCCTCCTGGCACCATCTCTCTCGGGTCAAACATGCCCCCGAAGACAAATATTATGCATGTTGTAACCTGGGTCCTACTAGGATGTGCATTTCTTGTCAAAATCTCCCTGAGCCCAGTGTCCTATGTATGGAAATTCAAAGTTAGGGAGACCTTTGTCTTAGGATCCATGGAGACTACCCACTTGGTGGGTACTGCAGAGTGCCCACAGGCCGGATGCACAGCACCCATCACCCACACCCTAACTCTTTCGTTGATTACCAACCCTATGAACTCCTTGCTTCTTTTACCATCAAACCTTAGATCACTGTAAGAATTCCTACAAAGAATATGGGGGGTGCCCTTATCTGTCATGTACAGTGTACCTTCCAGATAAAGGTCAAATGTTCACTCTGGTCTGTCATAATATGGGTTTCAATACGAATTAAGTTAACTATCTTTTTCTGATCCTTGGGACCTACGCTGGGTACAGGGAATCCAAGCCACAGGGTACACTGGCTGGCATTCCTACCCAGTGGCAACATTGTCCGTCTCAAGGGAATATGTCCCGACACAATATGCCACAGTCCAAGTCTCCCAGGACATCCTCCATTCAGAGCAAGTCCTACAAAATCAGCTAACATCATCAGAAAAGACCGAGACACCCTCAACCTGGGTTCATATAATCCAAAACACTCTGCCCTTCCTGACTGACTCCTTTGGGACTAATACCTCCTCTTGTTTCCTCTGCGCTTCCCTTCAGAGGCCTCTACTGGCAGCAGCTCCAATTAATCTCAATATCACTATGACCAAGATAACGGACGCTGCTTGCCAGACTCCCCAACTCTCAGTCCCCCTATGGGACTCCAGTCACAGCTACCCCTGCTAGAAAACTGATGCCCTTGTCAGCTTTCATTCCCGCACTTCCAACATTTCGGTGAAAGGATAGATACCTCCTTAGAAAAAACCTCTGTGTCTTTAGCATCATTTAAAAGACAGCTCCCCTCCCTGGCACAGGTCACTCCAAAACCGGTGGGCTCTGGACCTGTTAAAAACTGATAAGGGGGCACCTGCCTATTCGTCAGGGAAGAATGTTGTTACTGTATCAGTGAGTCAGGGATTGTAGAACAAAATGTGGAAGCCTTAATGAAACTACGCAAAGACATGGAAAGGGAAAGCGGGGGCTCCAAGTCTCCACTGACATGGTTTCAAAATCCTATAGTCTCATGGCTCCTCCCACTCTTGGGGCCAATACTAATGATAACTTTATTTTTTTCTTTTTGCCCCTTGCCTCCTAAAATTCACACAGGCTCGCATTCAGGAAATGTCTCCTACCACATTTAACCAACTTCTCTACCCATATTCTTGCATCCCTGCAGAAGACCCTCATAACCAGGCCTGAGCCACCTCCTTGGCTCTCTGCCAGAACCAGAGAGCAGTGACAAGGGAGGAGCACTGAGAGAAGGGGTTCATAAACGGGCTGGCCCGGGACGAAGAGGAGCGGCGAATGTGTGTGGCAGGGCAAGGGGTGGAATGTAGTTACATCACAATCCCTGGGAACCATCCTTATGTCACATCAAGAGCTGGGTGCTTGATTTGTTGCCCCAGGCCCCCAGGACTAACCCCCTTTCAGGTTTCTCCTATGGCTGCAGATTACCAACTTGAAGGGGACCCAAGGCCATGGGACCCGACCCTGGGAGAGGGTTCAGGCTCGCTTGCTCTGTACTGTACCCCACCTTTAAACACTGAGCGCCTACAAAGCCTACGCTTCCCTAGTAATCTTGAAACGCTGACAACTGCTCTGGGTGACACTGGGAAGAATTGTTTAGTTTGGTTTTCTGCGGGGTTTCTACTTCTCCAAGGAGACTTTCCAATTTTCGTCTGACTCCTCCATCTCACATTCTAATTCCTTATGACCCTGGGGCCAGAGTGCCCCCCAATCAGTGCTCTTTGGAGTGATCTGTTTATCCTCTGTGGATCAGATCCCAGAAAACTGACCTTCCCAGTTGGGAATCTTCCCCCAGTCGTCTCAACATGGTTTGCTCTGCTCGCCACAGGATAAATAGGCGACTGAAGCATCAATTCTGCTTGAGTCTCTTGAGAAAAAAAAGCCTTCTGTGTTAATGTACATATGCAGACATATGTGAGATTGTAACAGATTGCTCTGAAATGTGCCTGGCTGTGCCCCTGGCTGTCCCCTCACTGCCTCCTGCCATCAGCATCCACTGGTGCAGGAGCTTGAGCAGCGCTGCCTGCTGGCAGCTACTGAGTCATGGCATCCCAGAAGTTCGAGTCTGAAGACTGAGTGAAAATTCCTAAAGATTTTTTTCTTTAAACCATGTCATCAGTCAATTTCTTCTGTCATTGGGAGGATGGGACGGGGGAATACTCACAGCACCTGGTGGAGATGGTGGTGGCATGAAGTCAGATGGCAAATCTAACTTGTAAAGTGGGGTGTGAGTACAGGGGCTTGCCGTTCTCGTGAGCCTCAACTCTCTTTTTCCTCTCTGCAGTTGAGAGACTACCAAAGGAAAAACATCTTGGGGTCTCCTGCAAGAGACCACTGGAAGTGGTTGTAAGTCATCTGAAGATGTAAGTCTTGCTCAGCCAGGCTTCCTGGGAGAGGGGTGTTCCAGGGGCAGCCGAGTGAGAGGTGAAGAGCATGGAAGAAGTGGGTAAGAACCCTGGGTCTGAGTGCGGCCTCTCAGTAGCTCTGCTGGGGATCTGATTTGGGGTGACACTGTTTAAGCTCTTTGTCCACCTGTGAGTCAGGGTGCTACAGCTCTACTTAAATCTAGGCAGCATCCATGAGATGATTGTGCATTCATCCCTTCGTGTGGGTCCTTGTGCGCAGTGAGCCTTCAGTACAGGGCATCGCTATGGATTTCTTGCTCTGGCAATTTCCCTCATCCCCAGCCTCAAAGGGAAGCCAGGCATTGAGAACACCCTCTCCCTTTAGTGCGGCACAGATGAGCCCCGGGTGCTTGGGTTTAGGCAACCACTGAAGTGGAGTCTGTCTTTGCTACCTGCTTGCTGGGTGATCACAGGGAAAATCACATCCTTCCCGGGTCTCAGTTTCCTCACCTGGAAAAGGATACTTCTGGGGGGCCTCCCCGGTGGCACAGCAGTTGAGCTCTGGGTTGCGAAGCTGCCCGCTGCCTCTGAGGCGCCGGTTCGATCCCCGGCTGCTCCCCGGTCACCAGAGGAGGGTCCCACATGGCGTGCAGACCTCTCCTGCCGCCCGCTGCTCCCCTCAGCAGTGTACTTCGGTCCTTCTGCCTGCTCTGCTCCCCGCTCTGGCTCTTGTGAATTCTCTCACCCTCCCGCGCTTCTGACTGTACCCAGTGCATGTATAAACAAAACAAACAAACAAACAAAAATAAATAAATAAATAAAACATGCCTCTATAAAAAAAAAAATGATATTGCTGGGCCAGATCAGTGTCTTCCAGACTGATTTGGTAGCTTTGATCATCTCTTGGTTCACGTTGCTTTCTGCCTCAGGCGAGGTGGTGAGTGGCCATTTGGAAAGATGGCACAGGCCGTGGTATGGATCCGTCACCCTTGTCTCCAGCATCCATCATCCAGAGCTGCTCTCTCTTTCCTTCTCTGGCCTTCTTGTCTTCTCTAAGTCACTTTTCTCTTCCTCCCCTTGCCCTTGTTTTTCCCTTTTCACTTCCTGTAGATTCAGGATATTCTGCAGGTGCTGTGTCCCACCTTAACCGCTCCAATGGGGTAGCACTGCCCCCATTGGACAAGAGGAAGGTGAGGCCATGCTGAGACCCCCTCCCTGGCTTGCCCTCTCCCAGCATGCATGCCCGAGGCTTGTCTGGTTGGGGTACTTGGCCTCTGGCTGATTTTATGTTGCCATCATTAACCCTCAGTGTGTCCATGTCTGCTATTTCACCTGCTTGGTTGATTGTTGTTTTCCTTCCCACACATCTTTATCATCTTAGACAAGATAAAATACACTGTGAAGGGTAACAGATCTTTTGGGAAGAGCTTCCAGAGCAGGAGTGTGAGATTTGGGCCTTCCAACCCTTCAGGGTGAATGCTCAGGGGCCCGTCCTACTGGGAGAGTGTCAATAACCCCCCCCCCACACACACACACAGGGCTTGCCCTCTGGGCATGTCCCCCAAAGACCAACAGTGCACATAGCGGTTGATTTTTCAAAGTGATGAATTCATTTTAGCTTGGGAGTGGGAAATGCAGGCTTAGGAGAAAGGGGGCTTTTGTTACAGGTGCAAGGATTAAGGTGAGTTTTGTAGCAGAACTGCAAAGTACCTGAGGTTAACCAGAGATGAGTGACTGGGACATTCTGCCCCCTTGTCTTTTAAAAATCAACTGGACTCTTACCCATCTCCCATGGGCCCTTGGCAGCAGACCCTTTGCTAGGCGGCAAGGTGGGATGTGGCAACTGAGGGAGCAGTTGGCTCTGAAGGGTCTGGAGGCTGGAGGGGTGGCCTTTGAGACTGATGTGTAGAGGTGGGCAGTGTTCATCCCCGTGGAGAGCGGGTGACGTGGGAGTCCCAGGCAGAGGGTGGGTGCAGGAGATGATCAGATTCGGAGCCCAGAGAGCGCTTGGCAAGAAGGTAAGGTGCCTGGGGTGCCCTGGGCTGGGGGATGACCTCGTCATGATGTGGGAGGGGACACCAAGCTCTGTGTCTCCAACTGCATTGGGTGGTGTCTCATTGTTTCTTCTGTCTATCCAGGTACATCAGAACATGGAGGTGACTGGCTCACTCCAAACGGAGCAGCACACCAACAGCGAGCTGGCCACAAAACTTGGCCAGCTGCGGGAGAAGCTGGCAGAGCTGAAGGAGCTGGTAAGTCCTGCGCCAGCTTGGACGGGCTTGGAGGCCTCTGGGAGGGAGGTCCTTAGGCCAGAACAGAGATAGCTCCAACTCAGGACTGGGGGGCACTGATGACCCTGCAGTCCTGCCAGGTCTGTGACCACCTGTGCCCTAGGCTCTGACATGAAGTGGTGGGTTCCTCGGGACTGCAGGTCACCTCCCTGCTGGAGGCATGAGCCACTAGGGGAGAGACGAGGAGACGTGGAGACATCCTGGTTCCAGACTTGGCTCTGGGTTGCGCTTCAATGAACAGGGCTGAGCCTCAGCATCCTTCACTTCAGAGAGCACTAGAAAGCAGTTCTGTTGTGGTGAAAGGAAGGGGTCTGGGCAGGTGGCAAAGTCCCACAGTGCCTGCCTCAGGAAGAGAGGTCAGTGCCTGTCCCCCCCATCTGTGGCGCAGATCTGGGAGGTGCCTCGGTGGCGGGAGCCAGCAGCAGCGGTGGTCTCCACTCTGCTGCTCCACCACAAGTCCGTTGAGGCAGTTGCTCCTCAGAGCTGCCCTTTTCTGCAAGCTTCCTGAGTTATGGGCAGGACCAATCAGGTGCAAGCTATGGGCTGATTGGTACTAAGTGGCCCAGTCAGTCAAGGATGAAAAATGGTGCAGGGCTTCCCTGGTGGCCTAGGGGTTAAGTCTCGGCACCGTTACCGCTGATGTCTGAGTTTGATCCCTGGCCGGAATCTGACCCACAGGGCGCAGCAGACCTCTCCTGCCTTGCCGGCTGCTCCCCTCAGCAGTGTGTTTCAGTCAGTCTGCCTGTTCTGCTCACTCTACACCTCTGGCCAATACCCCAGTTCTTCTGCACAAAAAAAGAAAAATGGTCCAATCAGACTTGATGTTGGGACACCCTGAAGAGTGATATAAGCCAGGGTTAGAGGGAGCTGAGGGGCTCTGTTCCAACCTCCAAAGAAAGAAGGGGAAGACTCTTTTCCTGGCCTCTGAAGAAAGGAGAACCAGAAGCTGAAAGAAGAAAAGCAGCATCCAGTAGCCAACCTCTGCAGGGGAAAGAGAGGATGAAGACCTCTGTCATTGACTGGGCCTCCAGTCAGTGTCTGACATCACCTGAAAGGAGCACCAAAGGCTCCAGGCCTCATGTCTGAAAGAGCTGTTTGTTGTTGGTGTTGTCCAGCAACTCACAAAGAGCTTTTAACCCTTCGTGTCTCTGACACCGGCTGGGATCCCAACTGAAAAGGGTAGTCACGGGGCATGAGGATGGGATGCCAGGATAGGCCGCAGTGGCACCCACCTGCCTGGGCTCTAAGACAGGAGGGCTGCCAAAAAGCCCCAAAGCCAAAATCTAAAGGCTGAAGCAATACAGACCCCATACGATAGGGGCCTACAGGCTGGAGCCGATTGAAGGATAGTGCCCAGTAGGGGACTCATCACTGTGGTTCTCAACCGTGTGCACAATTGCAAGAGACTTCAGGCTCTGGAAACAACCACCTTGGTGGCCTCCACTGGTGGCGCAGTGGTTGAGTGTTGGGCTGCGAAGCTGCTTGCAGCCTCTACTGCCCGCAGCCTCTGCAGCGCCGGTTCAATCCCTGGCCACAGGTGAGGGTCCCACATGGCGCGACAGTCCTCTCCTGCTGCCCACTGGTCCCCTCAGCAATGTACTTCGGTCCTTCTGCCTGTTCTGCTCCCTGCTCTGGCTCTGGTGAATTCTCTCACCCTCCCGCGCTTCTGACTGTACCCAGTGCTTGTATAAATAAAATTAAAAAAAAAAAAAAGTTCTGTTTGCAGAACTTCTAACCTCCTGGACCCCCCTGTGCAGAGTAAGCAGGTGCTCTAGGAGACTCTGGCTCCCTTTAGGGCGGCAGGTGCCAGCACACCCGCAGAGGACCTTACACTACTTCAAAGGAAACCTGCACCCCCCTGATCACTGCAGCACTTTTTACAGTAGCCGAACTGTAGAAGGGATGGTACATAGATAATAGGATACTACTCATCAAGAAACATAAACTCATGCCATCTGGGGCAACATGGATGGAGCTAATTGAAATAAGCCCAAAGGAGAAAGACAAATATGTCACTTAGATATATGGATATAGAAAAATTAAACAAAGGGCTAGTTTAAGCTATCCCGTGAGTCTCCCAGGTGGTGCCTGACTACTGGCTCGGCTGCAGACCAGCCCAGACTTTCTGGCCTGGCAGCTGGATGGTGGACTGACCCTCTGTAGTTTGGCATCAAACTCATTTGATGACAAAGCCTGACTCCAGCTGACTGAATCCCCCATTGTGTCTTGTTTTACCTGCACCAACTACTGGTCCCCAGCCTCTGCTGTTTGCTGAGTCTGAGATGGATCTTGTACTTGATGCTGCATGTAATTTTTTGTTTGTTTGTTTTTAAGATTCATTTTTTATTTATTTATGCATACAAGAACTGGGGTATAGGCCAGAGGGGCAGAGGGTGAGAGGATTCACCAGACACAGAGTAGGGAGCAGAATAGGCCGATCCACTGAAATCCACTGCTGAGGGGAGGGGTGGGTGAGACAGGAGAGGTCTGCTGCCCCATGAGGGTTGCTCCCTGGCCAGGGATCAAACTCAGATCTAAGCAGTGATAGCATTCAGGCTTAAACCTTATGCCACCAGGGAGGCCCTGTTTTTATATTTTTTTATATCTTTTGATATTATTTAAAATAATAGAAGCACTCCTACTGCTCTACTTTCATAATAAACACGCTCCTTCCTCCCTGCCTTTGGCTCAGGTCGGGTTTACACGTGTCTTTGTCACCTTTACTCAGTGTCCATCTCTCATGACAGAGCAAGCTCTATGTCTCCAGGGTCCTCTCTCTGCTCCCCATTGTGTCTGCAGGGGAGGCAGCTTGGGGAGGCAGGAGCCAGCCAGGGAGAGGGATGCTGGGAAGTGAAGAGGAGGCAAAGGCAGAGAACACTTGGGAGATGCTCCCTGGTTCACTGAGAAAAGCATTTCTCAAAGTGTGGTTGTGGAATCCTTGAAGTCACCCAGAGCCTGTCACAGGAGCCACGAGGTCAAAACTATTTTCAAAATGTCACTTAGATACATACCACTGACTTTTTCACTATTTTGCCATCTGCTGAGGTAAAACTTACTAAAAATGGAGCTTATATTACTAACTGCAGTTATTCTTCACAAGTACTTACCTCAGAAACACAACTCCAAGCCAGTTTCATTTCAAAGTGTCTTGGTTGAAGCATTAAAAATTATCTTCATTATTCTATCATCCTCAAATCCACATTTTACAGCACCTGATGCGATGACACGCAAGTGCACACACAACACTCCTGCTGCGTTCCCAGCTATTATGTGCCAAGAAACATATTTGCATGAGATGAATTAGACTATTTTTCTTTTTTTTGTAGGCAATACCATCTTCACATGAAGGAATGAATGACAAAATCTGTGGCTATTTGATTTGGTTAATTAGCAGACATTGTCCTGAACATGAGTGTGTGCTCCTTTGAGAAAATCAACTGACAAGGGCCTCCCCTGGTGGCACAGCAGTTGAGGGTTGGGCTGTGATCCTGGCCACTGGTGAGGGTCCCACATGGCACGCAGACCTCTCTTGCTGCCCAGTGCTCTCCTCAGCAGTGTATTTCCTTGTTCTGCCTGTTCTGCTCCTCACTCTGGCCCTGGTGAATTCTCTCACCTTTCAGCTCTCTGACTGTACCCAGTTCTTGTGTAAATAAATAAATAAATCTTTAAAAAAAAAAAAAGAAAATCAACTGGCAATTGATAACTGAGAGTAACTTCACCTTGACCAAATATAAGTGCTCAGAAAAAAACAGAATCATGAAAATTGTGTCCTATCACTTGCCAACTTCCAGTACTACTTTTACTTTTTGGATTTGTAGTGAAAAATAATTTTTTCATAGACTTCAACCAGAACCACAGTTAAATGCAGAAGGAAGCATGAAATTCCTACTGTCTTCTAATGAGACAGACAAGATAAACAACGAGACAGACAAGAAGACAACTGCAAACATAAAACACATGAAAGATCCACTCTTCTCATTGCCCTGATTATTTTCAGAAATAAGTTATTTTTCTTAAGAACACTTTCTATTAACATGCATTGGATTATTACTATTATTCTAAATAAACAGCTACATGATCAAACTCGCTTTATTCCCAGTGTGGTAAGTATGGGGAGCGATACCTCCTAAACAAGATTATACTTGGCGTCCTCCCTAATTTGTCAGACTGGACACGGATCCGGGAAGGAACATGACTGAGAATCACAGACCCAGTGCTTGGGTCATGGAGACAGGGTGAGGAAGCTTTGGGTGAGGAGAGGAGGGGCCAGAGCAAAGCCCCAGGGCCCTAGTCTGGTTCTCATAGTTCCAGGCCCCAGGGCTGTGTCTAGGGCAGGAAGGTTACTGTTGGGGACACCCCACTGCCCCCTTAGCCTCCCTTCTGTCTCCACCACCTGTGCTGGGCCCCGGACACTTGTGACTCCTCCCCAGTTCTCAGTCCCCAGTGCCTGAGGCTCCCAGAGAACCAGTCAGCATCACTGCCTGCCCAGGTAAGTCTCCACCCACCAGCCTGGAGTCAGAAGCTCCCCAGACCCCAGCATTGCTGATCATGGGGTCCCCAACTCTCCTCCTGCTGCTTCTCTCCAGGGCTCTGGCCCAGACAGACACCTGGGCTGGTGAGAGCAGGGTGGAGGGAAAAAGGTTTCTGCAGAGGAAACTGCTGCCTTAGGCCCCTCTGTCACCCCCATGTCCCCCTCAGTCCTGGTCCCTTTCTGTCCCCCCACCCTGCCTCCTCCTTTTGTCCCCTGAGTCTTGCCCCTTCTGGACCCGCTGCCCATGTTCAGTCTCTGGAGCTCCCTCCCTCCTGGACACTTTCTCCCCTGCCCCATCTCCCTGGGACTCAGGACCTGCCCCGGGAGGAGGGTCCGCCCGGCTTCACCCCTCCCCGCCCCCAGGCTCCCCCTCTCTGAGGGTGTTAGAAATGGTGATGTCCCGCCCGGCCTCGGGGAGCCCCGGTGCATCGCGGGGGCTACGTGGACGACACGCAGTTCGGGGTTCGACAGCGACTCCCCGGGCCAGAGCGCGGAGCCGCGGGCCCTGGGCGGGCGGGCGGGGCGGGAGGTCGGGCGAGGAGACGCGGCTCCGCAGACTCTCGGCGCGGAGGCTCCAAGCGCTCCTGGAGGCCCCGCGCGGCCGCCGCAGCCAGAGCCGGGCCGGGGAGCAGCGCTGGCCAGGGCGGGTCACCGCTCCCGCCCCCCCCCCGCCCGAGTCTCGGGGCCCCGTGACCCCGAGGCCGTGGCCCCTGCCAGGCCCTTGACCAGGGAAGAGCCCGCGGGACTTTCACCCTTTAGGTTTTTTTTTGTTTTTGTTTTTTGTTTTTTTTGTTTGTTTTTTAACCA